ATCTTTCTGCCTTTATAGACATGCTGCCAAGTATTATGACTTTTATTCAGTTCATTCATTCATTCATTTACAACATACATTAAGTACTAGTTTACTAGTTACGTGCTAAAAACTGCTAGGTTCGTTAGAGCTTCAAGAAGAACATGACATAGATGCACAGCTGTTGAATTCCATTTTTTATATTTGAAGTGTGTGAGGGGACTGTTTAGAGTCATTAGGGTGGAAATGCCCACTAGGTGGTTGGAAATTCAAGTGTAGAACTCAGTACATATTTGAGAATTATCTTTATTTATGTGTTCACCCAACAGAATAGATGAATTCTTCCAGGAAGAACAAATTTAGGGGGGGAAAAAAGAATGGGACTTAGGATCCTAGGGAATAACAGTACTTAATAGGCAGAGGGAAGACTGGTTATTACTAGAAGTGACCAAGACAGAACTATAAGGGAGATAGGAGGAGAATCAGAAGATACTAGTGTCCTGGGAAGGGCAGCGGAATTTCAAGGAGAGAAATGGTTAATTACGTTTATTCACATAGAAGTCAGATATGATAAGAACTATGAAGTATCTAGTATAATTGCCAATTAGAATATACCTTGGTGACCTCAGTGTGAGTGGTTTTATAGAGGGAAATGGATAAAGGGGGGAATAAAAGCAGATTACAGTGAGTTGAAAGATAAATAGTAAGTGAAAAATTATAAACTGCTTATATTTTTAAGATGTTTTCTTATGTAAGATTAAGAGAAACTGGCCAAACTAAACGAGGATAATGCTAAGAGGGACTTTTTTGGGCAGCGGGTGGGAAGGAGAGCAACTTAATCATATGAGAGTACTTCAAAAGGTTTGTGGAAAAATAGAATTAAAAGATAATACAAATCTTTATGTGAAGTTTTTGAAGTCCTGATATAATTAAGTCATTGGGAAGGAACAATTTGACAGGGAGAGGTTGAAGATGCAGGGAGAACACTCAGTGTCTACATTCCTGCCTAAAACAACCCTTCCATTCTCTGTTATGATCTGCTATGGGACTGAAAATCACATTATTAAACCTGTTCACTATATTTATAAATCAAATATTTATAGGCTTAAGCCTGTGAGTAAAGTGACATCTTTTTGACCTTGATCTCTGCTGGGAAGTTCAAGTGTTACTATTTTAGACCATCTTAAAATAAGGTATACCTGTACTGAATCTTGTACTTTAGAGAAGAATGAGGATGCTGCAAGATTTGCAGCTATGTTCTAGCTCCAGGCAGTTAATTTTTTTCTTTTAACTGAACTACAGACTTTCTTAAAAGGAAAAAGCTGCTTACTCTTCGTGCCACTACCCTATCCCCCATTTTTTGTTCAGTGCGATAATCTCTGGTGGTCAATTTCTATCTTCTTTTGCCTTCCTAACAGTAAAGAAGAGACTCAAATTACTTGACCCTTTGCTTCGATTGCCTGCCCCTAATTTAGTGAAGCAAGTTCAGATTGACACACTGTCACAATAAATGTTCTGCACTAAGCGTTTATTGCTCAGTTTGAGTATTAACAGGGTAGAAATTTGTTTTCATTATTACATAGCATTAATAGCATTTTCCAAGTGTTTGAATTTTCAGTGAAACAGGCTTTAATAAGTAAAAAAGTATTATATAAATATATTGGGTCAGGGAATTTGTTTGGCCAGGGTAGTATATTATTTGGAAAGGTTTCCATTAAAAAAAAATTCCAGGAATAAATAAATGTTATAAATCTTTTAAGTTTTTAACTTTTTCTGATTATAAAAGTAAAACATATTGATTGTAAGGAATTTAGAAGAAACTGAAAAGTACTTTCTTTATAAAGAGAAATACGTAACAAAATTATGTGTTTTAGGCTACAGACCCACATAACTTATTGAGTGCCTTCCCTCATGGAGTGGTGATACTTTGTCTTGCTTCCTATTGTCCTTTTCAAATGTGTCACCATGTTGCTGCTGGAATGATGTTTCTAAAATATACATTTGATCTTTCAGTGGATTCCTATAAGTCTGTGGTTATAGTAACCTTCATGATAAGACATTTCCTAGCCTCATCTCATTCCATTCCCTATCCCTGGCATCTTAAACCACAAACGACTTGCAGTTCCTCATGTATGTCATGTTCTTTTGGCCTCCCTTTTGTCCTCATGGACTGCCTTCCATTTTCTCTTTTATTTTAATAAAAATAATGTCTGATTGTCCTGTCTTAGCTCAAATGTGAATAAAAATCCAAGAAGCTCCCCTGACTTCACACTGAGTTATTTGCTTCTCTTCTAATTTCACATAGCCTACAATGCTATCTCAATAATATTTATCATAAACTATATATTGCTTTATTTGTCATCTGTCCCACTAAAGTGTAAAGCTGTGAGAGCAGGTACTAGCACAAGCATATAGTAGGTAGTTGATAAATGCTTATTAAGGAGATAAATGGTATTTCTTTGGAGGTTGCATTTTATGATTTGGATTAACATTTTTTTTTGCATACCAAAAAGAGGGATAATTGGTATAGTCAAAATTACCTGTTCATTCTGCTAATATGAATGAAAGTTCTAGAGGCAAAGTTCTAGGAGTGAAGTAACAATTTATTTAAGCTAAGGATAAATAGGGAACACTAGTAGGATAGGACTGGCAATTTGTCATTAGTGAACAGGATGGAAAGAGGAAATTCTTTTGGGTTAGTGAGAAAAGGTATTCAGTGGTTTTAGATATCACCAAAAGCATGATGAGGGAGAGGAAATATTCTAAACATTAAGAAAAATTACAATGTAAATAATTTAGTCATATAATAGAAATATCTTGATAGTGTTTAAGTGCCCACATTGTATCTAAAACTCTGTGGAACAATATTAATGTTTCATATAATGTTCCACATTAGTAAGGACTAAGTCTAATATTTCTTCAGTATTCCCTACAGTGCTTATTATGTAAGATGTTTAATAAATGATTAATTTCTACTCTCATTGAGATTACATTTAAGAATGTAAAATAATTTAAATGTCTTAACTATATGAAGAAAACTACAAATCTTTGAGTATTATTTAAAATTTTTTCAACCTAGTAATTGCACATCTAGGAATACAGAACAATTAATACAAATATATGTGATAAGATGTAGATGTTAATACTTCAGGCTATTCATGAGATAATATATGATAATTGATAATATATTGCTTAGTCTGATAATATATGCTTAGTCCTTCCAACTACTTAGTAAGTGTTAGCTGTTGTTATTAATACTATATTTCTTTTTTCATTTTTCATATTTTTAAAGTTAAAAATGAACCATTTGCAAATTTTTAAAAATATGCAGCTAGCAATGAATGAAAAAGATCGGTCATGAGACTGGTAATCATTTAACATTGATCCTCTACTTCATTATATTTTCCTAAAAATTATAAAGTTACAATGATTTGTAGTGGGAGGTAAAGGATCTAATTTATGAATAAATTCTACCTACGGAGAAATTTGCCAGATTAGCTTGAGTCAGAGTGGTGTTTAAAACTATTGGTAGAAGAAAATGGAAGAAAACATGTATAAAGTCTATCAATTCCTGCTATTCCAGTTGGGCTGAAGAGTTCAATTAGTATTAATTGGGTTTATTCTTTATTTTTTGTGGTTTACTTTGACTATCTCAACGAATTTTATTCATGCAAAATATATTTTGTCACTCGGACTAGGGAAGTTGATGAACTTATGTATTTCATATGTATTTTGCTCAAAGATCTAAACATATTTCTGATAGCCTAATATTCTAGTAGTCACTTATTATCTGTTTCAATATTAATTTGTGTCTTTATAGAATGTAAATTCTATAAGGAAATACCATATCTGTTTTTTCATCCTTGTGTCCCAAGCATAGGGCTTGGCTATTTGTTCGACAAATATTTGTTCAACGAATGAATAAAGGAAGCCATGTTAGAAATGTATATTATATGATTTGGTTCAAATAAAATTTATCATGTATACTTAGATTTGCAGTGTTAAAGAACAGTACTTTTAATGTCAAATTTACAACTGTTTCTTAATTTTCTTTCTTGCCCACTGAATGATCTGGATCAGTTTGGTTTATCCTCATACCTCTGTTATTGCCAGGTTGTAACTTTGGAAACATCAAAGATTAGTTATAATTCTTATATTGCAATTTTTTACCAAGTTGGCTAATTTTCACCCAGCGAATGGTAATTTCACACATTCAGAGTTGTCCAAAATATATATGACTTGTAAAAAAAATTCTATTTATATACAAAATTAAGTCTTATTTAAAAATTTTTCTATCTTTGTTTTTTGTTTGTTTTGTCTCTTATTGGCTAAGTTATAAGATTTTCTAAAGCAGGGCTGTCCAGTTGGCTCAATTGGTTGGAGTGTAATGTTATAACACCTGCGTCAAGGATTCAGATCCCCAAATCAGCCAGCTGCAAAAAAAAAAAAAGATTTCCTAAAGCAAATACTCGAGTTGCTTTCAAGAACAGGTTCCATAGAAAACAAAAGTAGAAAATAGTAACTATTGCCTGCTTTTCTTGTTTTAGTGCTGATTTAAAAATTCTAGAACATTAATATAGTTATATTCTTAAAACCTTTAGTTTAAATTTAGAATATTGTACAATAAATGGTGAATATTTTCTGTGGTATCAGAGGATACTTTTATTGTTTTTAACACGTGTGTTTAAAGCACAATTCTATTTCACAAATGCAAAGTGTGGCTGCCGAAAGCCAGTGTCAACCTCCTGAGTTATTTATTATCTTTGTTTTGTGTTTATTAACATAGTTGTTATGTTACTAATATGTTATAACAATTAAATGCTTTCTATTTTAAAATGAGTATAGCATAACATTCAATTAAATACATCTGTTATAGTTCATCAAAATAACAACCTCTGAATGTATTCTCTTGATTAACCAAACATCTCTTCTTTTTATCTTTTTTAGTAACAGCATGCTTCTACTGCTCTTTAATTAAATGACCTTACCTTACATTTGTCTTGACTGGCTTCTGTTTACAGAAATTGTAAACCAGTTGAATGCTCTGAGCAGCTTAGATGAAGATCAAGATGACTGCATAAAGCAAGCAAATATGCCTTCAGCTAAATCAGCCAGTTCCTCTGAAGGTCTAAGAGCTTTCCTCCTTTCTTTCTGCTTCTGATTGCCTGTATTTACTGTGACCTGCTACCTCCTGACTTCTGTCTGTACTCAGCTGTCAGTTTTGTCTTTGTGCTTTTCCTTGAATGTTTTCTTGGTAATTTGTAGTGTACCATATTTACTGTGACCTGCTACCTCCTGACTTCTGTCTGTACTTAGCTGTCAGTTTTGTCTTTGTGCTTTTCCTTGAATGTTTTCTTGGTAATTTGTAGTGTACCAACAGGCAACAAGATAGCAGAACTTACCATCTTATATCAGAATCTTTAGTAGACAGTGATTTTACTTATAAAATGTCTTCTAAGATAATACTTGGTCACATGACGGTATTTCTTCAATGAACTTATATATTATAAATATAAATTTTAGAAATATTTGCTTATATTAAACCTATTTCAATTATTCATATTCAGGAGTGAAGGATGTTTTTTCTAAAAATCTAGGTCAGCACTTTTCTTATTGGATCAAATTAAGTTCAGATGAAAGTTTCCTTAATATAGTTCATTATCTGATATAATTTTCAAATTAATATGCATATGTTTGTTTTATTTGAAAATGTTGGTATGCTACAAAATACTTGAATGGCATTCTGCTGTTGGTAAATGCTATATCTTATTATTTGCAGGTATTATTAGTGTGAATTTTTACAAATTTTTACAAATTCATGAATGATTGATAATTATGCTTAACTATAAATACAGTGAACTAACACATATGTTTATTTTCAGAGCTTATCAACAAACTTAACTTTTTAGATGAAGCAGAAAAGGACTTGGCCACTGTGAATTCAAATCCATTTGATGATCCTGATGTAGCAGACTTAAATCCATTTGGAGATCCTGACTTAGAAGGTAGCAAGTTTTTCTGTACTTTTAATGTCTAGATAGTCAAGTTCTCTTGAACTGTAATGGCAGAAAAAGATTTTCTTCAAGGACTCAAAAGACAATTTTTGTTTACAGTGATAATATTTTTGTGTTCAATACCACTTGCAGTTGATCAACAATTCTGGGTAGCTCCTATTGAATTGTTTTTAAAGAAAAAAGAAAGCCTTATATAGACATTTACATGGGTGTTATTTTTTAATTCTCTGGTCAAGCAGATAGTAAAGGTCTAGTGTTGACGATAATAATGTTTACTTAACTGGCGTACAGTAGAGTCTCATTTGGTCTACCAAGTGAGGTCAGGTTATGGGACATGCTGACATTGGCATGGTGTAGTTAGCTTCTGTCTCTATATTCAGCTCTTCTGCCATGGTGCTCAGAGAGTCTGATGAGCCCCACTAACCCCAACTCCATGTCTCTGGCTGAGAAAGATGAGAGTGAGTTGTGCATGTGACAGCAAGGAGCAGAGAGAAGGTTGAGAACTGCTGTCATGTACAACCTACTTTTAAAGAATAAAACCAGGAATTTTTTTCCCCTGAATCACTTTTCTTATTAAGTAGTTTTGAACTTGTAAAGTATGGATGAGGGCTATTGAAGAACTGAGACTTACGTTTAATTAAATTCTGTGTGCTCAAAGTAAATGCAAGAATGATTAACCACTGTTTACATCTTTTTAACTGCTCTTCTGAAATCTTCATGAGCTTTAAAGAATTTTACTACTGCCTGTCATGATGAAAAGGAGGTTTTAGCTTCAGGATTTACTCTGTTAGAGCAATATTACTTCATAATCCTTTCTTCTACTCCTCTTCCTTTCCTCCCTTTACGAGACTCCAAATTAGTAAGTTTCAATTAAAGAGGTTTTATTTTGTTTATAGGCTATATATATTATGAACAAGATTACAATAAGTCTTAGAAGCAATCAGTCCAACTACCTTTTATCATAATTAGGAAGCTGAGGTACAGAGGAGTTAAGTGATTTGAGCTTTAGGTAAATAGAGGTAGAGTTGGAGGTAAGATTCCTAATCAGGTATCTTCTTTTGACCGTGCAGCTTCTCGATTGTGTACTATGTACATCTGAGTATACTGAGTTAAAAAAAATTATCAAAATATTTTGAGACAACAGTGTTTGAGCTTTCCATTTCAAAATTAAATAAGTAATTTTTCTAAATATATGTGGTTCTGTTTTCTGAAATACAGAAGGGAGTAACAGATAACATTTAAGATTGTATTTCCATTTAGAAGAGGTAAGCCTATCTGTTTCAAAGTCTGTAATTATGCCTGTAGAGCTAATAAAATATGTGGCAACCAGTGTTTTCTTTAATTATATACCTATTAGAGTCTTTGTAATAAGTATTTGCTGTTAGAAAACTACCTATTTTCCTAGAAATTTATTTTTTATACATTAAAAACTGGAATCCTCGAGTAACAAAAGTTATTTGGGGAAAGAAAAACGTATTGCAGTTGTTTAGATGGTTCTTTGTTTTGTTTTTGCTTTTACAGCTTCAGTTCTCTTATATTTTATTTTTTGCTTTTATAGCTTCAATTCTCCTCATATTTATGTGCTTCAGTGACCCTTTTAGAAAGTTGTTAAATGTATTTGTCAGCTTTTATATGAAATGATTTTCTCTTACATCCACCTTTGTTGCCTGTTCTATCATCTTCAAATCTTGCTCTATAGTTTGTATATTTTTGGTTTTATATCTGACAAATTTGCTTGGATCAATTTTTGCAATTCTCTTCCTGAAAGTAAAAATAAAAATCTTATTTTCATTGACCAATTTTTTCAGCTTCTTAAGCATTTGAGCCCTAATATTTGTTAATAAAAAATTAAATAGGCAAAACTTTGTACTCCTTTTTCCCCTACAGAGAAAAGAAAATGCTTCATTTATATTATAAAATGTAATGTAAATGTGGTGGTAAGTGAGAATATTACTGTGGTATTACAAGAGATACACAGTTACTGAGTCTCTTCTCTAACATGAGCTATATTTAAATTCATTTCAATATTAATTTACTATGATCTTATGAATTCTCTCTCATACTTTTCTTTCAGAATTTATAATTTTACAATGTGAATTTATAATATGCTTCACCATGGTATACAGAATTTCAATACGGAAGTTTTTTGTTGTATTATGTTTTTTTCAGTATACAGACAAAAATAAGTTTTCTGAGCTAATGTCTAAAGCATTAATAGTTTGACTTTAAAATATTAAAGTCATTAATATATGTCAATCATGAAATTTTTTATAATCAGGTTAAATTGTTTGAAATGTCACTTATGAAACAATTGTAATTTTTCTTGAAAATTTCAATAACCGATTTTCTGCCTTCCTCTCCTAGAATATTTTGTTAGAGTTGCCGGGCATAATTAAAATTACTTTTAATATACTATAGTTATTGGCTTTCTGAAACTTTTCTACAATTTGGGAAAATATTTTATCAGCAAAAGTGCAAATTTTGAATATTTTTATTACAAATTTTAGTTTTGTCTTAAAAGATTACTGGTAAGTGCTTCATGAACATTGTTAGAAGACATTACTATTGTACTGGATTTTGTGCGGTGACTCAGAGTTTTACTTTTTAAAGTACCTTTATTTTGAAATTGAAACTTGAAATAATAAAATTTAGAAGAATTTGGCATATCATGTCTATCAGCTTACCAGTATGATTTTAATATAGCACTCTCAACTTGAGGATCCCTGTGTTATTCTGATTAGAGTATTGATTGGACCCAAGTTATATTGAAAAAAATTATCTCCTTAAAAGCTCTAAAGTTTTAAGGTCTTGTATCATACAAAAACATGCTCTTTGAAGACTTGGAGAAAGCACGTTTAGTGATGTGTGGGTTTATTTTTGATATAGTCTAGAATGAATTTTAAAATCCCTGTATGGTCTGTGGTTGGGTAACTACCACAGATCATTTCAAAATTTAATCCATTTTATGTTCTTTTAAACACAGAAATTTATTATGCATCAGTTTGTGATGGCAAGCTAGTATAGTGAGATAAAATAAGCAATAATATATTACACCTGTAAGAAGATTAAAATTTCCCAAATTGGCCTACCATAATGCTAATATTATTAGAGACTCCAATGGCTTTCAAGATACATTAACAATCCAAAGATGCCATTTTTGGGAACAGCACTCCTGGAGAAGTCATTAAAATTTCCCAAATTGGCCTACCATAATGCTAATATTATTAGAGACTCCAATGACTTTCAAGATACATTAACAATCCAAAGATGCCATTTTTGGGAACAGCACTCCTGGAGAAGTCAACAGAGATCTTAAATATCACTTCTTCTGAACTTCAGGATTCCTTAGCACCTCTAAAATGTATTCTTGTTTCATTATTGCCTTGCACTCTCTCAGCCCCATAGAGTTTATTAGTTTAAGATTGCATATTTTTGAAAACACAAAAAATATAGGAAAATATCGTATAGTATTAATTTGATTCAATTCATCTTTTGCTATTGCTTTATAGAACCAATCACTGAAACAGCTTCACCTGAAAAACCAGAAGAATCTTTCTATAATAACAGTTATAATCCCTTTAAGGAGATGCAGACTCCACAGTATTTGAACCCATTTGATGAGCCAGAAACTTTTATAACTATAAAGGATTCTCCTCCCCAGTCTACAAAAAGAAAAAATATAAGACCTGTGGACATGAGCAAGTACCTTTATGCTGATAGTTCTAAAACTGAAGAAGAGTTGGATGAGTAAGTACTTTTTATTTTGCTATCATCACAAATCAGTCTCTGTATTAACTAAAGAGACCCTTCTGTAATATACCTTTAGATGGGTAAAAATGTTGATATTCGTTTATAAGTCAGTATCTAACTCATTCCCCATCTGAATTTTTATAGTCCTAATGCTTATTTTCCCACTTTCTTCCATGTGGGTGTATGTGTACCCTAAACTAACAAATGAGGGAGATATGTTTCTGGAATCTCTGGTTGGAATTCTTGTGCTTTCTCACAGAAACCATGTTATAAATAGTAGGTAGAAGTTTTTAATTGAACACTGTAGGCATTACACTTCAACTACATTATAGGTCTGTTGTGGGAACCAAATAATCATTATGATATTAATTTGGTTAAAAGACTTGTTCAAATGCCAAACAATGAGATCATAACATTTATAAATTATGGTTTATCACAAGTTTAATATGAATAGACAGTGTTAGTGGAGCTGCCATTTTGCTCAATCTAGGGTGGGGATATAAAAGGGGATATATTCACATCGTAATTTGGAGTTGTACAGTGTACAACCTATGTGGCCAAAACCATGGTCCTGAGTGTGTTTAAAAAGTAGCAACAAAACTTTCATTTCCAGCCATGATGGACTTATACAGACTGAATTTAATTTAGCCTCTTATCTTAACTGAAAAATGGAATAAAATGTATAAAGCAATGGTTTTCAGGCATTGGACATAAGCAGCACAGGACAGTGATTCCTGAGAAAACAGAAACAAAGAAAGTGAACCCTGAAGTTATCTAACCTTATTTATGGGAGAGAGTTTCCAACTACAGTTCAGGGAGGGAAAACCCAAGAAGTTCCCAGTAATCTCCTTGAATTGAGGTGATAGAGTTTGGACTTTGGGGATACCGAGGTGGCAAAAATTTGTGGACAGAGTACTAGAGAGAAGAGAGCTACTCATAGATTTCAGAAATCTGTAGAAGGTTCCTCTTGAGTCTTTAGCTGAGTTTTGATCAGAGCATTCATGTGACAGAACAATCCCTGGAGTTCGTCCAGGATGATGAATAGTTTGTGTTCCCACCAGCCAGAGAGGGAAGACTTCCTAACACATGAGACATCGAGTAGAGTCCTCAGAAGGGTATTACCTCAGTATTGGGGCAAATTAGCCCTAGACTAAAGACTGTTCTGGGCCTGCCTAACAAAACTTATAGGCAAGGCTCCAAGTAACTTAACTACATCCCACACAAAGCTCTAAATTATTTAAGGCAGTAGCAAAAAATCCAGCACCTGAAGCATAAAATTCCCACTGTCTGACAGCTAATCAAAATTTTACCAGGCATGTAAAGAAGCAGGAAAATCTAACCAATTATGAGGAAAGAACTTAATCATTTATACATGGATGCAGAAATGGGACAGATGATGAAATTAATAAAGTGTGGTAAAATAACTATTATAGATATACTCCAGATATTCAAGAAGGAGGAAAACATGAGTGTGGAGGATATGAATGAAGAAAACGTGTGTAAAAAATGTCCAAATTGAATTTATTAGAGATGAGAAGTAAAACGTCTGAGATGAAAAATACACTGTATGGGATTAACCCCACGTTAGATACCGCAGAAGGAAATATTAGTGAACCTAATGACATAGCAATAGAAACTATCTAGATTGAAACAAAGGGGGAAGAAAATGAACAGAGGATCAGTGAGCCGTAGGGCAACTTCAAGTGGCTACCATGTGTATAACTGGACTTCTAGAAGGAGAGGGGAGAGTGTGAAAGGGACAGAAAAAATGTTTGAAGAAATAATGGCCAAAAGTTTTAGAAATTAAAAAAATGTATATGAACCTCCAGGTCTAAGAAGCTGATTTAACCCCAAGCACAGGAAACATGAATAAAACCATAGCAAGCCTTCTCAACAAAAACAATTTAAGCCAAAAGACAGGCAATGTTCTTAAAAGTACTGAAAGAAAAGAAAACAACAAAAACCTGTCAACACCAATTTTTATTCCCAGCCAAAAAAGAAAAAGAAAAACAAAACCAAAAACAAAATAATGGACTTTTTCAGATGTGCAAAATTGCAGGATATAAAATCAGAACACAAAAATTTCTTGCATTCAAAAAGTTGAAAGAATTCTTTATCATCAGATTTGCTCTACAAAGAATGTTCAAAAGAAGTTCTTCTGGCGGGAGGAAAATGATACCACTGGAAATTTGGATGTGCACAAAGGAACGAAGAAAACAGGAAATGGCAAATATATTAGTATATATAAAACACTTATTTTAAAAAATCTCTTCAAAAGATAATTGTTTAAGGCTTAAATTATAATGTATCAGGTTTTATAACATATGTAGAAGTAAAATGTGTGACAGAAGTAGTATAATGGCCGAGAGTGGGGAAATTGAAGGATACTGTTTTAAGCTTCTGACACGTAATGTTACTTGAAGATAAACTGTTTTTTCACACATGACATATCATTTATATAGAAAATAGTGAGTTATCTTCAAAAAGGCTACTAGACCTAAAAAGTAAATTTAGCAAGGTTTTGTTTTGGGATACAAGATCAATATACAAATTCAGTTGTATTCAGTAACAATGAACAATCAGAAATGGCATTTTAAAACTACCATTCACAAGAGAATCCAAAACAAAAACCAAACAAAAAAGGGATGAACTTGAACAAAGATGAAATAACTATAAATTGAAAACAACAGAATATTGCTGAGAGTAATTACAGAATGAAATCAATGGAGAGAAATACTATGGCCATGGATTCAAAGATATAAATTCTTTACAATTGATCTATATATTCAGTGCTATCCTGATCAAAATTTTAGCATGCTTTTTTATGATAACTGATAAGCAATTAAAAAAATGTATATGGAAATGGAAGGGCCCTAAAAGAGCCAAAACAATATCGAAAAAGAACAAAATTTGAGTATTTATGCTCCCTGATTTTAAGACTCATTAACCAAGACGTTGTAATATTTATTGGCTTAAAGATAGACTATAGGTAAGTGGAAAAGATTCAGAAATACATCCATACATGTGTTGCCAATTGATTTTTGATAAAGCTAGCAATGGGAGTCAATTGAGAAAGGGTAATCTTTTCACCAAATGGTGCTAGAACAATGTTCATATGCCTCTCCCTTAACAAAAAAGAACTACAATTCTTACCTCCCACCATATATAAAATTTAACTAAAACAGATCACACACCTAAAAATAAGAACTAAAACATTGAAACTTCTAGAAAAAGCACAGGATAAAATCTTAGTGACCTTGGATTAGGCAAAGCTTTCTTAAATAGAATGCAAAAAGCACAAAGGATCAAAGAAAAAATATGGTTAATGTGTCCTTCATCAAAATTAAAACCTTTTTCTCTTTATAAAACCCTTACAAAAATGAAAAGGCAAGTCACAGTATGGCAGAAATTATTTTCAATACACATATCTGGCAAAGACTTATATCTGGAATATGTAAAGCACTCTTTTAACTCACCAGTAAGAAAGGGGGAAAAGATTCGAACAGACATTTCATAAAAGAAGATATAAGAATGGTCGATAAACACATGAAAAGATGCTCAACTTTATTAATTATCAAGGAAATACAAATTCAAACCACAGTAAGGTACTACTACTTACATATTCGAATGGCTAAAATTTCAAAAATGGACTATACCAAATATTGTCAAGGATGTATATAGACACTGGAACTCTCATGGACCTCTCAGAGTTCTAAATGGTACGTACAGCCATTTTAGAAAAGTTTGGCAGTCTTTAAAAAAATTAAACATATACACTCATTCGACCCAGCCATTCCATTTCTAGGTGTTCACCCAAGAGAAATAAAAGCATTTGTTCACAAAAAAGACTTTTCCGTAATATTTTAACTGCTTTATTTATTATAATGACTAAATATGGGAACAACTCAAATGTTCATCAGCAGGCAAATGGATAAACTGTGATATATTCGTACAATAGAATACTACTCAGTAATGAAGAGGAACAAACTATTGATGTGTGTAATTACATTTATGAATCTAAAAATCATGAGTGAAAAGGAGCCAGACCAGAAAAGATACCATAAATATTGTACCATACATACCATACATATTGTATGATACCATTTATTTAAAACTCTAGAAAATGCAAACAATCTATAGTGAGAGAAAGCAAATCAGTAGTTGCCTGTGAGTGGAGCCAGAGGGAGGAAGGGATTAAAAAGGGGCACAAGGAAATATTTTGGGGGAATGGAAATATTTGTCATCTTGATTGTGGTGATGGTTTCACACTTGTATGCATATATGTAAAAGAAATCATCAAATTGCTCTTTTTATGTATTGGCCATTTATTGTATATCAATTATACCCGACTAAAGCTGGTTTTAAAAGAACAGCGATTTTTTACTTTATTAACGAAAATATGTTACATCAGTGATTCCCAGCCTGGAATTCTTGGGCCTTTAGGTCTCTTTGATATAAATAATTGTTGTGGGACAGGAGAGATCTATAAAATATTTAGCAATAAATATAATAAGTATGTTATAATTAATAATTGTATGTTTACTTGCAGTGAGGCTATATGGGTCTTTGCTTTCCTTGGAAATACATGAACTTAAGTGTATTAACATTATTTAGATCTTGTGAAAATAGTTATTCCTTTAAAAATGCGGTTTAATACGAAAATCTTTAAAAATATGGGGTATGTGGATTGAGAAGAGAATAATAAAAAGGTTCCTTTGATGCATGAAAGTTGGGAGTAATTGCTTTGAGTGAAGGGAGAAAAAATGCATTGGTCGGCTCCTATTTTGAGCACTATTTTACTCTAGGTGCTGCATTTTACAAGGGACATTGATGATTTGGAGTGTTAACAGAGTAGAGCAACAAAGTCATTAAAGCGTCCAAAAACCACACTAAATGAGCAATGATTGAGGGCACAGGGACTGTTTGACATGGCAAATAAATTTCTTAAGGAACAGAATGACCACCTACAAATATTTTGAGAGTTTTTTTTTTTTTTTTGACCAGTAAGGGGATTGCAACCCTCGGCACAGTGTGGTCAGCACTGCACTCAGCCAGTGAGCGCACTGGCCATCCCTATATAGGGTCCGAACCTGCAGCCTCAGAGCTCCCAGCGCCGCACTCTCCCGAGTGAGCCACGGGGCTGGCCCAGTATTTTGAGAGTTTTGTTTGAAAGAGTGAGGACTGTTTTCTACTGCTCGGGAACTACATTTCTCAACATTTTCCCATTTTGCAACACATATGTAATCACTGTTACGTTGCTACATGTTTCCGTGGGTATGGCTAGGTTTTGATAAAGCCTAAAAAAAGTCCTAACCTTCGTAAGTACTTAGAGTTATGTCATAATAATCATCTGATTCCAAACCCAGGTTGAGATCTCAATACTAATTAATAGCTATATTGGGGGTTGAGAAGTTGACTCAACTCTTGCTAAAGTTATCGTATTTATTTTCTTTGGGATAGCTATTGTATGATCAAAATAAAATTTCTCATGGGTGGTGCAGGTGCTGAGTCATATCCACACACCTAGAGCATTTGAATGTTAATGCAAACTTTAAGTACAAGCATTCAGTTATTCTAAGATACATGGGTATTGCACAACACATGCACACACCCTGTTCTCTCCTGTTAACAAAGTAAAGAGACATCTAATGTTTGCTTAAACTTTTAAAATGCCTTAATAAAAACTAAAATCAGAATCACTGGGTGTTTCCTTTTGACCATTCTCTTTCCACATGAAAGTCACAGTCTTTACAAGTTTCCCATGAGTAAAGAGTGTTCTAAATTGCTCAGTCATCTGGGGTTACCAGAGGGAACCTATAAACACTCCAGTTTTTTTTTTTTTTTTTTAGGAATGCATACACAAGTTCTAAAGACTGAACATCAGTTAACATGCAAGTCCAGAAAGAACTCTATTAATTACTTGTTTTCATCTTTTCTCTCCAAAAGTTTGAAGATCCAATATAAGGAATAGAAATCTCCCAAAATTTGTTTTTACTTCATTAATAAACTTATGACCTTTCATCAAATGGGAAGCCTATATGACTCATCTCCCATTTTGACCAAAATATCATATCATCTTCCTTTATGACCGAACTCTTCTTCTATCCTTCTGCATAATACTATCACGAATAAAGTAGTATTGAGTCCTCTGATATGTAAAACAACCTTCAGTCCCCAGCATATTTGTCAGCACCAAGAGAAAGTATATGCCTTTCCCTGCTTTTTACTTTTAGCACATATCCTTTACACTTAACAACCGAAAGGGCTTCTCAGTTTTCTTATGTTTGGGGGATAGTTCAGCTATTCTAATTTATTTAGCAAAACATGAAAACTGATAAAGCAATAATTTTCTTTCAGAACATTTATGAAATGACTTTTGAGGCCCAGCATGCAATCATTTCTGATATGATTGTATGTCAGTTTCTCAAGGAAACCTCTCATTGAATTTTATTCACAGAAGCTACATACCCCTTTTAATAAATTTGAGTTGTTTTTCCAAAGAAACATAGATTTTCAAGGTGAGAAGAAAAGACTATAGATTTTGCTATACCCTTGCTTCATATTGTACTATTTTTCCAGTATGTCTATGTTAATCCTGTTTCTAACCAACTTTGGACTTTCTTTCTAGAATTTATTTTCCTGGATGAATTGCCTTCTATAAACAATACATAATGTTTAAAATTATTTTATCCAATTTTCCACTTTCTTAATACAACTGATGAACTTTAAGCTCACAATGAGTTTATGATATAACCAATCTATTTTTCAAGTATACAGTACAAGGATAAAAATAATTCTTATTTATTCAGAATCATGTGGAAAATCCTGAAATAGATTATTCAAATCATAGATAATCAACAGAATGTGGAAATTATGTTAATTCCTTAAATAATTTTTCTTAAACTACTGTTTAAGAATAGTTTAAATATATTAATTAGCATTATATATATAACTTGTCATTGTAGAGAGATGTGCTAACACAATAATATCTATATGTAGGCATTATTCTTGTTCATTCTTTTTTATAGCCCTTTTTAATTGATATATACTTCACATAACATTAAATTACACATCTTAAAATGTACATTTCAGTGGTTTTTAGTATGTTGATTGTGTTGTACAACCGTTACCACCATCCAACAGCAGAACATTTTTGTCAACACAAAAAGAAACCCCATACCTATTAGCAGTTAGTCCCAGTTACCCCTTTCGACCATCCCCTGGCTACAAGTAATCTACTTCTGTCTCTGTGGATTTGACTATTTTGGACATTTCATATAAAGAGGTGGTGGCTGATAATTTTTCAGAACTGATGAAACATGTGAATCTTCAGACTCAGGAAATTCAAGGAGTCTGAAACAGGATAATTTAAAATAAATCTACACCTAGACACATCTCAGTAAAATTGCTCAAAATCAGAAATAGAGAGAAGATCTTAACAGCAATCAGAGGTAAAGGATGACTCACAAAGGAGCAATATTAGGCTGACGGTGGGCTAATATCTTCAAAGTGCTGAGATAGAGTAACTGACAACTAGAATTGGCTACCAAGCTAAACTATCATTTCAGTGTGAGGCTGAAAAAAAGACATTTTCAAAGCCTGGGAGAATTTACTGTCAACAGAACCTTGCTGAATGAACTATGAAAAGATTTTCCTTAATGAGAAAGGAATTTAACATAGAAGAAGGGATGAAATGCAAGGAAAAAAATGGGGGTGGAGCATAAAAAAGAAAATACATCAGCATTGTCACACCTTATTTCCTTTTCCTTGGGTGTGGAAAATATACAGGATTTACAATTTTTAACATTTAACGTTTTTCTAAGACTCCCTATATATAATAGTTTGAGCTATGTGACTTTATATTAAAAAATATTTTTTAGAAGAGAAAAATTTTATTTAATTCTGGATAGAAGTAAACTAAAATATTAATAGTCATTATTTCCAAATTGTAGGTTATCACTGGTTTGGGTTTTATTTTGGAAAAAAAAAAATTATGGTTTTCAGTGCATGTTTTATTATTTTAGATGGAAATAAGCCTTTTTTTTTTTTTGTCTTTTTTTGTGTCCGGCAACGGACCGCAACCCTCAGTGTCGCGCCCGTACCGGACCGGGACCGGCAACGGGATTGCAACCCTCGGTGCTGCGCCCGCCCCTCGCTCAGCCAGTGAGCGGGAACCAGTCTGTATGTGGGATCCGAACCCTCGACGGGAGCGCTGCTGTGCTCCCAAGCGGCACACTGTAGCAGTGCGCCACCGGGCCGGCCCAAAATAAGCCATTTTTTTTGAGAGACATTTAACAGTCATTTTTCTTTTCATTTAGATCAAATCCTTTTTATGAACCGACACCAGCTCCTCCTCCAAGTAATTTGGTAACTCCAGTTCAAGAACTGGAAACTGAAAGGAGAGTAAAAAGAAGGGCCCCAGCCCCACCAGTCCTCTCACTGAGGACAGGAGGAGTAATTGAAAACACAGTTGTATCTACAGGAAGAAATCTCTGTACTTCTCCAAAGGTAGGATTTTATTCTTAATAAAACATGTATTAATTAATGTTTGCTCTTTTTCTCCAAAAAGTTAGCTGTTTTTGATGATTTGAAAGTAAAATCCAAAACTGTAACACTGTATATATGTTTGAGAGCCCATAAGTTTACAGTACAGTATGGATTGTATTGTTTGGTTTAAGATTTGTTTTTAAAATGCTGTTTTGAAATCAGAGGAAGAAGGGCATTATAATCGTAGGATTGGTTTTAAAGAAGCTAGGCCTGAGGGATAGGGGAACATATAGGACGGAGTACAAACCATCCTTTGACAAAAGTACTGGAAAGATTAAGGCTCAGTGCAGAAAAATGCTTTGTTGAAGAATTTCAATATTGACACTTTGATTTATTTCAAGTTACAATTTTGGCTTTTTAAATAAATTTTAATACATAATAACTGCATGGAAAGGTAAAACACTGTTGGAACAAAGTTGGAAGCTATTAATGGGGTTTGGTTGCAAATAATATGGTATCTTCTATGTGTAAGGTAGGAATGTTGGTTTTAGCAAGTTTTTTAGGTAAATAACTTTTGCCCATATACTCATGGGTATGTTGTTATTGTTACCATATTAGATTCTTTAATTCTCACAGGTAGTTATGGTAAAAATAAGAACTTGATCTCAGAGGGATAAAGGAAAGGTCACAGGCAGGTCCCCTTTCCACCCCCCCCACTCCTACCAGTAGAGAGAAGATTGGAACATGGCATTTTCATTGGTTGTGTGAAACTGGAACCAAACTCCGTCTCAGGTGCCTGGGCTACTGTTTTTCTCAAAGGCATTGAAGTTCAGTAGTTTCTCTTCACTTTTTCAGTTTATTTTGTGGTTTTTGTTAAGTGCCAGAGTTCTGAAGTTGATTTTGTTTACCTGTATTTTTGTTGTTTTAGAGGGAGCGTGAATTCACTGAAGTCCTCATTCTGCCATTCTAAAGTCAAGCTCCAGGTGTTTGTTTTTATATCAGGTTTATGGGTTTTTTTCCCCCCGTGATTTTAGGGAGAGGAACTAGGAATAAGTTCATCTCACCAGTTGGCTAGGGAAAGAGGGAGGAAAACTCTAAATGAAAGGAGCAAATGGTAGACACAAAAAGCAAAGGAAATGGCCAATTCCAATTCCCTTCAGTTTAAAAATAAAGACAGTGACTGGGGCTCTAGCCAGAGTAAAGAAGCTATGTAAGTTCCTTATCCATTCTGACCATAAAGAATACCCAAATCTGTCTCTTATCTCTCCAAATCTCTAGTTCCTCACTGCCTACTCCCGGCCCTCTTTAGTCCATTAGGAGTTTGAAGCTAATCAAGAATTCCTTATCCTTCTGTAGGGGAATGGAAAGGAATTTAACAGTGCCTGCTGTATGTAGATCAATGTTCTAGTACCTCATTTGATCCACAGAGCAACCTGAGAAATAGATACCATTATCTCTGTTTTACATATGAGAAACTGAACCTTAGTTAAGTAATTTGCTCAAAGTGATAAAACTAGTAGTGACAGTGCCAGGATTAAAATTCAGGTCTTCTGCATGTAAAACCCACACCTTTCCCACTGTGCCATTCTACCTCTAGAGAGGTATTTCTGGTTCTGAGTTGGAATTATAAATATATTTTTCCATAGAATCATTGTTTACATGGTGATTAAGTTTTCTTGCAGTGAAGTATGTAATAGCTCTGTGAATAGCTATTTTATACATTATTTTGAGGATAATGTTTTATTGCAGATGCATTGTAGAATAAATGATGTATATAGGAAAGGCCGAGCATTTTACCACCGTACTCCTCTTGAAAATGCCTTATTATGCTCAGACACAGTCAGTAGAAGCACAGTATCTACAGTAACCTTTTGTTGATCCAGAAGGTAGTTGGGATGACACACAGGTGAAACACAACAGAAAAATTGAAGACTGATGATAAATTATTAAATTTAAAAGAAGTGCATAACAAGAGTATAGCATGATTACGTCTGTGTGTATAAAATTTTATTTTAAAAACCTGTTCACACATATACACATAGACATACATGCTCATATACATTGTGGAAGGAAAAACAAGTAACTTAATAGGGATTACCTTTAAGGAGAATGGTCTTGGTAAGGTGGAGGGTATGCAGAACATTGAGGAACACGTTTCTTTTCATTTTTTATCTTTCTTTTTTGTTTGAATTGTCGAACCTTATACCTATTGTACTTGAGTATTTGTTATACTAATAGAGGTGGGTAATGGGGTTGTGTATCTTTTTTTTGTTGCCTTCTGTATATGATTTATACAAGATGATGTTATCCCTCAGAATAGAAGTCACTCTTAGGCTAGACCAGTGGTATTAAACTGTTAGATGGTGGCCTGGGGTTCCATCAGGTGACTTTTTGCTGTTCTGCACTGGAGACCAGGTGGTAGAGGCTTGGCAGTAGGGCTCTGGAACCCCTGTTTTACTTCCACAGCACAAATCCACATTCAGTCATTTTATACAAGGGCACTTCAAAAAGTTCGTGGAAAAATAAAATTAAAAGATAATATGAATCTTTGCATGAACTTTTTGAAGCACCCTCATATATGAGTTTATATAAGATTTCACTTGAAAAAAAAGTGGACCATTGCCAAACCAAAAAAAAAAAAAGAAATTGGAAACTGCCAACTACATAATTATGTATGAGATAAGGCAGTAGATTAGAATCAGTGTCATACTGACAGTGATAAAAAATGACAAATGGCAGCTAAGAAAGCACAGTAGTATGGGACTTACTCATCATAGGAATAGACCTATATATCTGTAATTCCTGAAGACTTTGTGCTATTATAGCTTAGTAAAATAACTGACCATTTTGGCAACCTTGAATCAACATGAAAGAGTCTTATCATGTTTAGTATACAATGCTCTTATTTAGGAAAGCAGGAAAATGAACTTTACATCATATAAGTTCCATTAAAATTATTAAAGATTTTATGGGGCCGGCCCGGTGGCGCACTGCTACAGTGCGCCGCTTGGGAGCATGGTGGCGCTCCCGCCGAGGGTTCGGATCCCACATACAGACCGGTTCCCGCTCACTGGCTGAGCGAGGTGCGGGCGTGACACCGAGGGTTGCGATCCCGTTGCCGGTCCCGGTCCAGTACGGGCGCGACACTGAGGGTTGCGATCCGTTGCTGGACACGAAAAAAGACAAAAAGGAAAAAAAAAATTATTAAAGATTTTTGATGCTTAAAAACCAGCTTCTGGGCCATTTGTTTTCCTTATTTGTAAGTTGAAAAAGAGACAATAATTTAAATACAGCCTTTAAAAAAAATAGGCCCAAATTTTAGTCAAATAATAACACTACACCACAATTGTCTGTGTAACAAAATACCAGACTGTGCTCGATGGCAACTTACTGTAGGGTTGGGAGAGCATTCACTGTCATAAAATGACAAGTGCTTAGCTGGGTGATTAATTTCCCCACCTGTAACCTGAAACTACTTATTTTAAAGAAAATTTATGAAAGAGAACCAAGACTAGAATTTAAACAACGTGATAATAAGTGTGCACTTACATTGCAAAATAAAATTAAGACTGACCCTGATGGCAGCTAAGCACCCCTCAGTGTCATAAATCCACATCAACTTCACACTTCAGACCACTGATTTCTGTATTTGTAAAATGAGAAGACCACAATACTTTTTAAAACAACTTTGGAAAAATGACCAATGTTTAGAGAAGTAACCTGACATTAAACACATAACCATCCAATAAAATAAAATAAATTAGGCTCATTGTGGCTGACCACCATTTAGTTACCGTGACTATAAGTTAACAAATATGTAACTCTGAATATGGTAACTCCTCAATATAACTCATACAACTTAGTATGAAATACAATTCAAATGGTAAGAAAGAGCTTAGGGACATAAATGAAATTGTTGCCAGATACATCTGCTAAAGTATATGATTAAACACTATATACCCAATACCATAAGAATCACAATATAAACAACCAACTATCAATGACAATAAAGAATTAAAGTAAATTAAACTTACACTTTTACACTTTCATGATTGCATAGAGAAGAGCCCCACTGTACATTCCATGATGAAGTGAGCCTGGTCAAGTAGAGAAGGGATCCCTCAAAGATCCCAATTGATGGAACTCCAGTGATTGACAGTGATACTGTTGTCCGTCTGCTCTATCTCTAAAAGTGAAAACCCCATTTATATTTCAAGGCTTAACTAAATAACTCAAGCCTTCACTCATATTGTTTCCTTTTTGTAGAAACTTTTTTTCTAGAAACAAGGTTTTCACTTGGATATTTTTTAACTTGAGTAGACTGCAGAAATTATGGGAAGCGCAGAGTGAACCAAAATCAGGTAGCTTCCAGCAGTTCTGATTGGTCCCAGCAAATTCAAACCACAAAACAAACACCTTTTTCAGCTTTTGCACGTAAAGGCCTCCTTCTGGAAAGTTCTTTAACTTAACTTCATTTTTGTCTGTGCAAAACTGTAGAATGGTGTCTAAGGGCCATTCCTGCTGAAAAACAATAAGCATACAATCAGCATGTTAATTTCCTCCTAGGTAAATTGAAAATGTCTCAAACCTTTCAAGGAAAACCATAAAAAGAACAAGAATCAAAATGTAATTGAATAGAATAATAAACACACAGTTTAAAAAAAATTAAAATAAAGTGAGAAGCTATATTTGATGACAGCTAGCAGGGAAAAAGTTAAGCTCATGTTACTTATAAAACTTAGGTACTGGGATACCCTGTTTCTCAGTACTATTGAATAGATGGAATGCTTCCATATATATCAAGTTGTATTGGTTTAGTACTCTTTTAGTTATGAGTAGCAGAAACAAGACATGTACTTGCATTTTTTTTGCTTAAACAAAAAGGATAACTTGTTATAAAGACACAGATATTTTGCAGAACCCTAGGCAGAGGATACAAGCTGGGTCTTAGGAACAAATGGGAATTAGCCTCAATGTATCTGCGTCTCTCTCTGGAGTGCATTCAATCTTTTACCTTTTTA